GTAAAAACATGTTTATTATAATTGTATTAGCAACAATCTATTGTTTGTAATGTGATCTTTCTACAGGATTTTTTTTTAATATATCAGTTAGACATTTCTATTTCTAGATAACTGATATTTAGGACAGATCCGTAATGCATTGAATAAATAAAATCAACTGCACATAGAGTAATATTTAGGACAGATCTAAAAATATTTAAATAAACAAAAAACTACAGTGTTATCAAAATAGGATTCAGTGAAACGTTTGATAAACAATGTTTGTACACATAGGTGTATCAAATTTCCATTAACGACAGGCGATGGGAAAACACTCCTCCATATATCTTCCGGTTGGAAAGTTTTTTCTTCCTGTATACTGCATATAAAGCATCAGCTAGCTTGAAATTGAACACAGATTTTCTCATTCATCAACATCAAAACATCTAACAAAGCGCCATTACGTAGTAACAGTTATTCAACCATGTTCAGCACACTTGTCGGAAGATTGCCGAGAACTGCAGTAGCCATGACCAAAGGAAACCTCATCAGATGGTATTTATAATTTAAAATATTTCGTTTTAAATAAATAACAAGTTCTCTTTTCGACAACTTACTGACGTTATATAGCTACAATCGATTATTCCGATTATAACTTTCATCAAGAAGCTACATTTGTTTTGGCCAAAAGTTAATTATTAACATAAATTGTTTATCTATTGACAACAATAACACGTGAATTATCTTTCCAGCTNACAACTGAAGTATTTTACCGCAGATGTTATGTTTACGATGTATTGATGATTAATGTGCCAGTGACGTTGTATACAAGACTATAGATTACATTGTGAATTATTATATTTATACTATTTTATATTTATTTATTTCTGGTTGTTAATTGTTACCTCGACAGGTAAAACATTTATGTTTTTATTAAATAAATAAAATTTACTTTTTATATAACTTTCTAGTATCTTTATTTATTTTATCTATAAATTGTACATAACCTTTACACACAAAAATGTGATTGCACTCAATGAAAGTAAGTAGATAGTACTCCGTTACATCAAATGCATTAAAGATATGAGTATAAAACTTAACTTTAACTAATAATTAATAGTTATATGATTTATGGTCTAAAATCTATATTTGTTTAGAACAATCAATACGTTATACATAGTGTATATCAAAATCTGTTTTTTCAAAAGATAATAAACCATTGTTTTTATTGGTCATAATAAAGATTCTTTGAGGTTTTATAAAACTATATAGGAAGAAAAAAAGTCATTAAAATCAGAAATATATTCCATAAATGTAATTTAATTATACAAAACATATAAATTTCAGAGAGAGGAGAATAAATATTGTAGTTGAATATATAATTTTCCTCTGAGCTAACAGGATTCAAAACAAAAACAAAAATCCCTATTCAGGTCAACTACAATTGTATCCTGATGAGTAATAAACGTTGACCGCGAAGCATGACTCACGTGTTTTGATACACGGAACATATGTATACTGGAAATCACAGCAGCTCGTGCTAAATACAGTGCAATTTCGAAATCAACTCATCACATGATATATACTTCGGTCGGTCACAAAATAACGAATGAGACATTGTAAAAAAACCGGTAAATATTGAATTCGTTACTTTCGGTAACTTTCGGGTTATGGATATTTATAGCTCTAGATACATAACAAGTGATAAGTTGATTGTTCTTTGAGTATATGACTAATTTTGTAACTTTTGGGTTATTGATGTTTAAAATGATGGTAAAATGAACAATGACTACGTTGATGAGCGATATGAAAATGGCGGTCTTCGAGCTATTCACAGCTATTTTGGCGCTTATATTTTTCAATACATGTAGTTACGGATTTATTATTCTAGGAAGAATTCCAGTAAAAACATTGTTTTGATGAAAGTTTGTTTAAGATGGACATCCTATCAAATAAAATAAATCAAAGTTAACTGTCTGTAAAGGTTGATTGGAGATTTTTAAAAAAATACCACATTGATAATAAAGAAAAGGTTTCAGCGACTTTTGCGTGCCAAGTTTTGCCCTTGTCTTGTTCCGTTCTATCTCTTATATTTATTTTGTTATGAAAGCGGTCCACATTCTTTAATAATTTCAATGTGTGTCAATGAAGACTCCAACTTGTACGTAGAAGGGAACTGACCCTTTAACAAACCCTCTTATAAATAAATAAAAAAAAATCGTTCTATACGAGAATGCATATACATAACCATAAAAATAATATAGTTCATCAGAATTTTTTTGAATGATAACCTAAACTTTAAATGGCAACGGCTTTCTGACAAGGTAACTAGTCGAGCTATAATTTCGCTCACTGAACAAAGACGTAATCTAATACGTTATGGAATATTACATAATCATAAAATATTATATAATTATTATAATGTAACTTTTTATTGAGGGTTTGTTTTTCATTCAACTATAAATGTTAGTAATTTATATGACTTGTTAATAAGTGGAATTCACTTTTTTTGTAATATATCACATTAATGTATAAATGGCTGTAAACTTACAGAGTTTATGTGCTAGAAATATATAAGTGAAATCTAGGAAAATTGTACTCAAATATCCACTGTATAGTAAACAAATCGATGATGACGTCAACTGTTTATTTCTGTGAATACACTTTACCACTTGACACCACTACGAGGTTAGACGCTAGCTAGTAATATCTGTTTTTGTTAAATATCTAACAGTGGGAAATAACATATCTATATACAAACCACAAATGTTTGCGGACAATGTCTTACGTGAAAGTTATTAAACTGTAGGCCCTATTTTATCATGTTCATCTAGTTTGTAAAAGAATGGCAGATATAAGCAAATGACGAAACAACATATAATACAATATCTTTTTCGTTAGTTCATTAAAAATAAAAGTTTTAGGAACATTTCATTTCCCGAGGTGACACAAAAGACACAGTGATTTATGTGGGACACATCTATGATTAAACAAAGTATTCAACGTATTACTCGAACACAAGTTGTCGAAGCGTGCTATATTTTTATTACATCTCACGCAGGCTATCCTACATTTAATACGCGAGTAGTAAGCAGGAACTTATGGTAAATTCCCGTTGCTATTGTCAAGGCGTGTGTATAATTATTTATGTAATATTTAACAAAATACTTTATGAGAGCGTTCGGCGCCCGAGCGAAGCTCTTTAATGGTAACACATGCGTACGTAAACAGAGTTGCCTCCCCTTGCTACACATTGCCCTTGAAATTTTTCGTCCGGAAGTAGCCGTCCAGTGGGGAAACCGGAATTGTGTCCTTGAAGCAAAGGCAATTATGTTTCAACTTTAATATCCGTGCTAGAAAACAGAATATAAACGTAAACAGAATTGTTGTTATATTTCGACACTTTCAGAATTTGATAAAAACTAATATACATTCTGTGGAAAAAATCCATCACATTAAATGTGATACAAACATCATATGACGTCACAAAAACGTAATACTCCTTCGGCCTTCATCAGTTATTTCCGATGAAAAATTAACCGTAAAATCTTGGAACTGATGTCCGTTGCATTATCGTTTTGTCGGTGCTTTCAGAACTTTGGTTTATTTCTGTTTTTATCACAGGTACAATAAGTAAACATGCGGATATTTCCATAAGATCCTTTTTGTCATGCACCAGGTTCTGTTAATATTTCTACCGGGAGATATATATATGTATTACACCAAATGGTCTACGTGTACATTTATTTGTTCATCGTCAAAAATTTCATCAGCTTTTGAATACCAATTGTTGAGAATATGAATAAAATATCTAACATATTTGAAGTCTTGTTATAGTCTTTACACAATGTATTTATACATCACCACTCATTAAAGAAACAATTGATAATGCATTTATGTTGTAATCAACATTGATTTTCCAGACCACCAACACGAGTTTGACGCCAAATAAACCAAATAGCCCCTATTTAATAGGCGGAAAAACGTTGTAATACCAGGTGGTTCATTTGTATATATTGTTTTAATACTTTGTTTGTCTATTTTTTTTATTTTTTTCCCCTGTGTACAATTAGTTTGGTTGTTTCCTATTTTTAGATCGGTAGCAAGCATTAATACGATACTTAACAGCTTTCACAGATCCTAACGGCTACCATAAACACTAAAACATAGTTTTTTTCCCCAGTAGAAATGTGCTTTACATAAAACGCATTCAGGTATTAACTTTCGGACTGTTGAACGTAATATTTTTTCATCACAAATAACTGAAATAATATTCTATGAATGCGCTGTTACCGAAAAAAACAGAAAAAGAAAATAGCACCAATTGTTTTATCAGGTTATTGCATCCACCTTGAAAAAATGACATGAAATCTTGATAATGTAAAAACGAAGTGAAGTGAGACAGGAAGCCTTAAAGGGCTCGTAATACTATGATTGAAAGTTCGAACCATTGTCTCGTAGAGAACATTTTTTCTTTTTTCAATATTACATTTAATTGTATTTTTTCAATAAATTTACTTCTAAAAAATCATTTGGAGTTCAATCGCCCAACGGCTGTTCAGCGTTCATAAACAACTAGAACACATCTGTCTTCTCTCCATTTTTTTTATTCTGAAACATTTGTAACACGATTGTGAATTGTCAATTCTAAATTTGAAATAGGGCGAGTTCATTATCCGGATTAAAGTAAAACATTGGTAAAGGGGACATAACTTTTCGTATCAAGTTACAATAATAAACGTTATCTCAAGTTCACCATCAATGCTATGTGTTGTTAATGTAAGTCGGGGTAATTTTATCATGACTTTTTAAAACACGTGAGTTGTTCCAATGACTTTATCATGTGACACATGGAAAAAACCTACAACATATAAGACACACACTTACAAGCAAAAAATATCAATTACGCACAACAATTACGAAACGGACTATACAGGAAAACGAAAGTACAATCCTTTCACACATGTATTCACTTACCAGGCTTCCCGATCAGGGCTGTGTATTTGCAGACACTGCCCGTACTCCATACATACATGTAGGAATACACGCTTGTTGTATAAATGCGTCCGAACTATTGCTAGTTCCAGCGTAGAGTGACTGGTGGCAGAATACCAGAGAGGGATAAAGGGCGGATCGGAGGGAGTGATGGGTAAAAACCGTGGTAAGTCATACAGTCCGTTTTTCACTGGTCAGTCTGACCAACACTCACGACATACTAGTCACGTGAGTAGTACTCACGCAACCGCATACAAAATACCTTCACACACACAATGACACTCACAGGTATGACAGTATGTCAGCCTGGTCTACACATACCCCCCTTATTTGAAATATGTCCAGGTAAGCAGGTAAACATCAGCTCATCCAACTACTATGTAATAAATCATTTCCTGCAAAATAAAGAAACAAACAAAGAAATCACAATTAATTATTTAATAGGGAAATGCATCTTCGGAACCTGTAGAAATAATCGAGAAAACCACAGTTAATACATTTCCAGACAGTGGCATAACACTTGTAGTGCTATACGATAATACTGATAAAAAATCTCTCTATGCAAAGGAATGGGCTTTGGTAAATATTTAGGGCTCATCAGTAAATGACATGATCCAAGTAGTCAAGCATTAAATTATTTTAAAGCCGGTTAACACGGACATCCAAAGACCTTATATTCCAACAGCCTCTACAACGAGTCGTTAATAAATAGATAATATCAACTTCCGCTCTCATTAAGACTGCTGTATAAATTATAAACTCACATAATATAAACAAACTAAACCAATGATAGGATTACTTATTTAAAAATGCCGTAACTTACACCAACATGATCAGATACCCAATACAAGTTATCTTTTATAAATATTGTACCAAGGTTCAACATTTATTTTGTCTTGCGACTTGTACACAGAACCCCTCATATAAGGACTGCCTTTATACAAGGACAACCATTTATGGAGAAAACCTCCCAATAAGGTCAACCTGTGAATAATGAAAACCTATGTATTAAGAACACCCGTTTAAAATTAACCACTGTGTATGGTGTATATCACATCAGAATACCACACACCTGATCACCTTTATTTTACAGCTACCTGACTGATACGACAATTTCACAATGGTCACAATACAGTTCCTAAGTGCTCGCTTTACTTAATTTTACCTTATAAAGTAGATCTATTAAAAGTAATCTGAACATTTTGTCAATAAAACACTCACTACTCTACAATAAAACCCAACTGTTCAAAATGTCTCGTCAAAATGTTTGGGGAATAATTGAGATCCATACCAGTCTGGGGGATTTCGTGTCCTGTCCGAACGTCGCACTCCTGCAGGATTAACAGCTTCCATATCGGATCCGGAATCCTCCCTATTCTCTGCTGATGGAGCATCTTGTGTCTCAGCCTCATCAGGGTTTTCCAAGGAACCTGGTGTCGGAGGTTCTTTTTCCATGGAGACCTCTGGGGGAATGGGATTAATCACTGGGTCTGGCACCCTATATGGAATAGGGGGAGATCAAGCTGGTGGTGCTGGGCTGTTTTCTATGGAAACCCGGGGCAGATAAGGACTCCTAACCTGTCCAGGGGTCCTATCCGGAGTAAGGGAGACTACCCCTCTTGGTTTCCACCTCTGAGACATGACATACCTGTTACCGACCGTGTTCGAATTGTCCGTCTCCGTTATGGAGCTGGAACTCTGTTCCACTTGGGATGTTACCCTACTGACCTTATTTCGGCGAACGTTGCGATTCGCCATAGCTTCATTTTCAGCCCAGTCAGACTGAATTGCTGTCAATAACAACAGCATATTCCTATGAAGTGTTCGCACAGAAACAACACCATCTGCCCTCTGCACTTTATACACAGGTAACCCATCTACCTCTGCTGATACCATAATATAGTAATCTTGCTCCCATCTATCTGCGAGCTTATGTCTACACTGGAATCCTACCTTTCTCACCAGTACTCGATCACCCAGGCCGAGTTTTGACTCTCGTACACGAGCGTCGTAAGCAGCCTTATTTTGCTCAGCTTGCCAACCAGATTCTCGAGCTGCTGACCTATAAGCATACTCCAGCCTCTGCCTCAGCCGATGGACATATGTCTCATAGTTGCCGGATTGATTCCCATGTGGGCCATTGATACCCAGGAATGCATCAACGGACAACCTCGGATGCCAACCAAACATTAAATAGTATCCAGTCGCATCACGTTTGGTGGCATTGTAGGCCTGCACCAGTGGTGAAAATAGCTCTTCCATTTTGAGGTGAGTTTGGTAAAACCGCTCTACCCAGCCATTGCCCATGGAATGGGATGGGGTGGTTCGAACCTTTTTAACCCCAGCAATCTTTCATAGTTCCCTTATGACTTTGCTACAGAAGTTTCTGCCCTGGTCAGACAGCAACTTCTCAGGGAAACTATAATGAACGATGAAGTGTTCATATAAGGCTTTTGCTGTTGTCGAGGCAGTTTGGTTGCGGCACGGGATTGCTTGTGCATCGTGTGAAGTGATCAGTGATTACTAAGATGTTTTCGTAACCACCCTTTGACTTTTCTAAACTTAAAAACTCAACACACAGCAACTCTAGTGGCTTAACGGTTTCGATTGGGACTAACCAAGCCGCACAGGCCTCACAGGGGTTTTCCTCCTAATGCATCTACCACACTGCTTTACCTTGTGACAAACATCTTTTTCCATGCCTGGCCAATAGAATCTCCGCCTAGCTAGCCACAGAGTTTTCTCTTTGCCCTGGTGTCCCACATCGTCATGTATACCCTTCAGTTCCTGGGTCTTGTGTACTTCAGGCAACAGTAATTGTTTCACCTGTTCACCATCTACAGTAGTAGTTCTGTAAAGGACCTTGGTTACAAAAGGTATGCACCCTTTCTTCCTAAGATACCTTCGCACCTCGGGTGGCTCATCCTTCAGCTCTTCTTCCCCGGAAAAGGCTTCATACTGTAGAGGTGTACAAGCCTACCACTAACTGGATCCTTACTCTGTTCCAAAGCCCAGTCTACTCGACCGATCTCATCTAAATTGCCACCAGCCTCATCTCCGACCGGAAGAGAGGCTGGACCCAATGTTATTGAGTCAGCGAGTGGCACTGAAACTGTGGCAACCTGGCAAATGGTCTTGACCGTGTCTGAAAAAACCCTGTGGACAGCGGGATAACCTGTCTGCGTCAGAATTGTTCTTCCCGGGGCGATATGGTATTGTGAAGTCATAACTAGCTAAGGCGGCTGTCCAGCGATGGATTGAGGCATCTAACTTAGCCTTAGTAAGGATATAAGTTAATAAATTGTTGTCGGTGATACCCTGAAATTTGGTACCATAGAGGTAGTCATGAACATTATCAGTGACTGACTAGGTCGGAGCCCCCTACTCGCATACGCTATGACCCTTGGATGGCCTTCCTGCTCCTGAAAAAGGACACTACCAAGACCGTCTCCGCTGGTGTAAGTGTGCACCACGAATGGCTTGGAATAATCTGCATATTCCAGAAATGGAGGACTAACAAGCTTCTCTTTGACTGTGTCAAAGTCAGTCTGTTAGGAGTCACCCCATTTCCACTTTGCATGTGCAACTTTCTTTTTTCTACCGGTTTGTGTTTTACCTGGGACACCGTGCCCCCTCAACAGTGCATTGAGTGTCTCGACTATCTTGGAGTAGTCTTCACAAACCGTCGGTAGTAACCTGTGAACCCGAGGAACTGGCGGTGTTTCTTTAGGTTTTTTGGCTCAGGCCAGTCATTTACTGCCTTGGTCTTATCTGGGTCAGTACTAATACCCTGTTCTGAAACCACATGACCAAGATATGTGACTGAGGTCGTAAACAACTCCCCTTGGACGGTTTCAGCTTGAGACAATGGGCCTCAATCTTATCAAACACAGCCTGCAACATCTTCAGGTGCTCTTCAAAAGTTCTAGCAAAGATGAGAACATCATCTATGAAAACCAAGCATTCTCGTAGATGTTAATCACCCATTCACCTTTCCATCTACCGCTGGAATGTGGCAGGAGCTTTCGTCAAACCGAAGCACAAACGGTTACACTCATAGAGCCCAAGGTTACCTACTGAAAAGGCTGTGTAAGGCTTGGACTGTTCCTCCATCTCTACCTTCCAATAGCCGGAACGTAGGTCAAGCTTAGAGAAACAGTTATAGCTATTCAGGGTAGCAATGACTGCGTCAAATCTCGGGAGATTATAAGCATCCTCCCGAGTGTTGTTTTTGAGCATTCTGTAATCGATACAGAACCTCAGGGAGCCATCTTTTTTTCTCTCGAACAAGTACGATGTTTGACGAGAATGGGGAATTAGATTCCCGAAAAAACTCCAACATCAAGCATATCCTTGACATGCTGTCGTACCTCTTCAAACATGCCCGGGGGAATCCGTCTATATGGTTGTTCAAAGGGTTTTTGATCTAACAGCTCTATACTATGCTTAACAAGATCTGTCTTACAAATATCTGAAGCATCTTTGGAGAAAATATGGCTCCATTTACCAAGGGCTTCTCGAACAGTAACCAACTGTTCGTCAGACAGACTACTGGTATCAACATGTACACCTAGTTCTTCAGGTTCAGACTGTGTTGGCATATTCACTATACTTGAAACTAAGTCATCTACAACTTTAACCTCCTGAACCTGACAAAACTCTGTCTTGGGTTTTATCGATATGGGTTTTGTAGTCAAATTACAGATTTGGACGTGTAGTCTCACTATGTTAGACTGCTGCTTACACTTTACCACCAACTGCAAACTTGGCACCATTACCGTCTATATTTTCAGTGACAACCTTGCTGATATTTTGTCCTATGCCTCTAACGATCCCATCTACCATAAATAACCATAAGGCTATACAGTGACTGTTTTCTTACCAAGTGATCTAACATAGAACTTGTCACAATGAATACTACTCATAGCCACCTCCCACTCCTGTGGTACAATTGGCGCCCAACGAAACATACCCACCGAAGGTGGTATAGGTTCTCGTGTGTCTTCGGGGTTGAAGACGTTGTAAAAGGAGGGAGTAATGTAGCGGCACTGGACTGGGTCGATCGTCGGCGACCAGATAGCTCAATTGGTAGAGCATCCGTCTAGAGTTCGGAGGGTCCCGGGTTTGAACCTCGTTTTGGCCGTGCATTTTTCCTCTCCTGTTACA